TAATTTTGAACCAGGACTTTTGGGAGATCTAAGAGCATAAAAAAATATTCAGTATGTAGAAGATTTAAGTAAGCATTTGTTGTGTGAATGAATAAATGAAGCATTGCTTCCTATACACCATGCACTATGTTAAGCAACCAACGCAAAACATGTAGTTCTTGCTCTCAAGTTGCTAACAACCTTTCAAGGGAAAAAAATTATGCTTTTGTGACTGGCTTTGAGATATATATATTTCTAATTTTAAAATTCATTTTGAAGACTTTTTGGAAAGGTTTCACTGTGGCCATTTTGAAAGTGTATATGTTTTCACTAGGTTGAATGGGGATCTCTGTTTCAGATAGAAAAAAAAATCTCAAAGGAACAAATTAACAAAAGTGAATGGTCAAGGCAATGTCAGGGCTAGAGAGTCGGTGGGGTGCCAGAGAATGCAGGAGAGGAGGCAGACCAGAAGCTTGGACTCAGATGGCAGAGGGCCTTGAATACCTGCCAAGAGATTTTTAAAAGAAGAGAGGAGTCCACTTGTGTTCAATGTTGCCTAGGGGTTCAATTAAGAAAATCTAAAAAGCAGCCACATTATCTATTTAGGGTTTCTTGATGATTATTACAAAAATGTATTTAATAAACTGGAAGGCATTAAAGCCAAATCTGAATGAATCAAAGAGTAAATGGATCGGCAAAGATAATTTTCACAAAGAAAAAGGATGGAGTACCACTGCCTCATAATTAAAATCATAACACCACACCAGGAAAATCAGTCTAGTCTGGAGAACTGAGATAGAAATTGATTAAAAGCCAAGAAATAGACAACATATGTCATATAGCAAAAGGTGATATATGAAGGAAGTGACATCACAAATCACTTTGGAAAGAATAGACAATTTAGTAAGTGATGTTAGAATAATATGAAGTCACAGTCATATCTCGCTCTGCAAACACATACACACATACAAACAAATCTCAGATGATTTAAAAGCCTAATGTTAACAAATAACACTTTTAGAGTAAAATACATTTATTATTTCAGTAAAGAAACCATTTCTTAAACAAGACATATAAAGTACAAACCCATAGAAAAGATTATTTGACATTTAAAATTAAAAAATTCATGACAGCTGTAGCCAGTTTGCTCAGTGGATAGAGCATTGGCCTGAGAACCAAAGGGTCCCAGGTTTAATTCTGGTCAAGGGCACATACCTTGGTTGAGGCTCCTTTCTCACCCAGGCCTAGTCAGGGCTCGTGCAGGAGGCAACCAATCGATGTGTTTCTCTCACATTGATGTTTCCCTCTGTCTTTCCCTCTCTCTTCCACTCTCCCTAAAAATCAATGGAAAAAATATCCTCAGGAGAGGATTAACAAAAACAAACAAAAAATAATTCATGACAAAAGACACTATGAACTAAGGTTAAAGACAAGTCATAGACTAGAAAAAGTTATTTGCAATCTAATTGACTTAGAGCTAGTATTTAAAATATCTAAACAAATCCTACAAGTCAATATAAAGAATCTAACACATCTAGCAGGAATTAATAAAATAGTAATTTATAGAAGAAACCTGAAAATGCCAGTAATCATATGAAGAGTTGCTCATCCTCCCTGATTCTCAGTACAAATTAAAACAAGGAAACACCATTTCATATTGATGCAATTGGCAACACATTGATGCGACACATTTTCTAAGAGAAATTTGACAATACCTATTGAATCAAAGTGGTCCAAACCATAGTGCACAGAAATCCCACTTCTACATGTATTCTATATGGAAAATGCAACAAATACACAATGAATCATGTGTAAGGAGAAACATTCTAGCACTTATTCTAAGAAAAAAATTAGAACACAATTGTTTATTAATGAAGGAATGAGTGAATAAACTGCTGACTCATCAAGGGGTATACCTTAAAATAATTAAAACATATCAATATGGACAAACCCAAATATAACACTGAAGGAACAGAGTAATTCATCAGACTGTGTACAGAGAGAATCATAGTATTTAAGAAAAAATCTAATTATAAACAGGTATCTGTTTACAAAAAGTTTAAAATGATGTCAGGAAGAAAGCGTTAGTGGGGTGGGGGAGGGGAATCCAAGATCGTGTGTTACCTGGAAGCCAAAAGAAAGACTGTCATGTGACAGACTCAGTCAAATGTTACTATTGGTCGGTATGGTGAGGAGTGAATTCACCTACTTGAGGTCAAAGAATGACCTTGACAAGAGCATTTCTTTTCAACCAATGTGATAAAAGCCAGATTGGACTGAATTTAAGAAATAAATGGAGAAGAAGAATTGGATAGTGTCAGCATAGAAACTATTGCAATGAGTTTTCTTAATGTTTAAATTTTTGTAAACAGAAGCAGAGATATGGAATAAAAGGTAAAGCGTTGGTGGCAGGGGGTGGGGGGGGAGGCATGGCGTCCACCCTCAATTGACCTCTCCTTGTTCCAGTTGGGTCAAGAAAATAAGATTTTAAATATGAGAGAAATAATAGCTTTTATATATGTTGATAGAAATGATGGGAGGAGAGAGGGAAGGAGGGAAGAAGAGAGGGAGAAAAAGAAAGAGGAGAAGAAAAAAGAGGAGGAGAGAGAAGGGGAGGTGGAGCAGGGAGGGGAAGGGAAAGGAGGGGAGAGGAGAAAAGGGAATTTGAACTCAGGTAGAGTGTTTGGCATTGATAAGAGCAAGGCTATTCATAGCACATAGTATAAGGAAAGAAAGAATACACAGGTGCAGATTCTGGTAGGAAAGTGGTAAATGAGCAGATGGAATTTATGGAAGTTTATTCAATTGCTTTTATTTTCTTAATGGTACAGGAAATGAGATTCTCAACTGTGAGAAAGAATACAATAGGAATTGTTAGAGATTTGAAGTGAAAGGAAATTATAAGAATTATTTGTCTAAAGGAGTAAATATACTGTGGAAATATAATAAGATTGCTGGGCATTATTAAGGGTCAAGTTTTGAGTTAATGATCATGAATTTAAAGTAAAACCAGGCAACAGTTAGTATTATTCTCCAGTCATGTTCAGGTGTACAGGTGCTGTTTATTTAGGATTGGTGTTTGTTAAGAGATCATGATAAAACAATAGACAGGAGATACAATTGTGGATGCTTGCAAGGAAATCATTAAAATGATTGTAAAATTTAAGTTAACTAAGTAGGAAAGAGAAAATGAGACAGGCATGAGACATTGAAAGATGGTAGGATAATGGATTGTTGAGACTGGTGAGGTAGAAGGATTGTTAAGAATTGGACTACAAAGAGAGAGAATGAGAACTGGAAAGATTGGAGGTACTCATCTTGGAGTGGATACCTGAAATTGAGATTGTGAAGAGGTACCAGTTATTAGCCATAGCATGGCTAAGATATAGACTTGAGAATCATAAGCATGTACGTTGAATATTAAACTATGACAATAATAGCACAGGGAAAGAGAAGTGTAGAAAGATGTTTGTTTCCTTTGACATTTCCCAACCTAAGCTTCTCTATCCATCCCAACACTCTTTCTAACCTCTCTTGGTTCTTATTTTCCCCTCTCCTTAACGGAGTTAGCAAAATAGAAGCAATGAAGATGACGTGATGCCAGGGAGAAGGGAGAGATACAACAGTTAAAGAATGAAAGACAATACTTTTTCCTGCCCGATCCTTCACTTTTAACCCCACAATTCTAGAAGACTATGATGCATTTAAAAAAGCATCTCTAACTTTATATGTATTAGAAAGAGTTAGTAAAATTGGGCCTGCTACATAAAATTCCTCTTTACAGGAGTCTTTTTCAAGCACACGTCTATTAACGTGGCCATGAAAATAAAACTTCGGAATTTGTGTATTGGGAAGAGACATTGCTGCACCTTTGAAAAAACAATATTTGATTTGGGGACCTCCAGACAACTTTTATTGAAACTACACAGCAGTAACATTTCATTCTGGCTGAATAATCTCATTCTTTTCCACACAGAGACTGAGTAGCCTGAACCTTCTGTTAAAAAAAAAGAAAAAGAGATTGTAGCCCTGTCTGATATAACCAGTATATTGGTGTCCAAGCTTTAACCTTCCAATTTAAACTTCAGTTACAACTCCACTTTTTATAAGCACAGAAATGTTGGGTGCTGGGTTTTTGTTCACCTCTCTAGCATGCTTATTGAAGAGGCACTTGGATACATTTTGTTCAAAGTCGATGGGCCTTCCATCAGTGAGAGATTTCAACAGTGTCTACAGAATGAACATGTGGTCTAATCTAGTTGCTGTGACCCACAGCTGTAGCAACCAGCTGCCTCTGCTCAAGCTTCAGCCGCTGTCCAGCTCCACCTCCACTGTGCAACAGGACCTTAGTCACAGGATGCCTGCATAACAACGGGTTTCACAAAGCCATTTTATAGAGAGAAATTGGTTAGTATCCACAGTTGCTAAAATTACAAAGTTTTAAGTATTACAAAACCAAGAGACAATGCTGATGGTTTACACAGATGGAATGCAGATGAAGCTTGCAAAAGTAACCTTACCTTGCAGTTCAACAAAATACCATTTTTAACACATAAATTGTGGACTAGCAAATGGAATCACTACTGACCCAGTTAATAAAAATTAGGAATATACAAAATGCTGATATTCACATAGACGCCATTGGTTGGGATCTCAAAATTTCACAAAGTAGATGAGATTTGTCACCTAAAGAAACTTCCAAGAATAATACTAACTAAGGCAAGATCTGGAACTACGTTGGAAGGTAAGATTTAGTCCATATTAGAAAATATGATTATGGAATCACTTAATGTTAAACAGAATATAATATTTATAGCATATAAAAATTCATAAATTATCTTAACAAAAAATGTTCTGATGACTGATGGGTAACCCCCTCCAAAAAAAACAAACAAACAAAAAAAAACACTGGCCTTGACTTAGGTGGCTCAGTTAGTTGGAACATCATCCCATACACCAAAAGGCTGTGGATTTAATTCCCAGTCAGAGCACTCACCTCGGCTGTGGGTTCGATCCTCAGTCAGAGCATGTATGGGAAGCACCTGACGGATGTTTCTCTCTCACATCGATGTTTCTCTCTCTCTAAAAATCAATAAACATACCCTGGGATGAGGGTAAAAAAAACAAACTAGGTTGTACAAATTTTACCATATTCAAAGAAGAGAGTGCTCTGATTCTATGCCAGTCTTGGTTTTTAGGAAAAATATTCCAGAAATGAACGTATAATTTCTCACTAAAAAATTAACACCTGACCTGACCAACCTAAATATAAATAACCTGTTGAGTACAGACCAAAGCCATTTGTTTGCATTTTGGCAGATAGTAAATTCTTCAGTAGCAAGAGATAGGTAAGCTCCCCCAGCACCTTGATGCCAGGTGAAGAAATGCAAGGAAAGCAAGTCTTAGGCCAAATTTGGTGTTCATGCAAATACTTATTATTAAAAAGACAACAGAACGATTATGTGGCAAGTTCCATAGGCTCAATGATGTTTTCAGATTCTCTGATAGCAACTCTCAGGAGAGACTCACTGGAAGCAGACTTGTCATGTTTGTCATCAATAGAGTGTAGCAGTGTGTTCTGCAGGTTATCCAGGTGGCCCGATCTCTTTGGGTTACATTATGGCAGAAGGCAGGAGAGTTAACACAGCACTGGAGCAAATCTATAATGGCACACTGTTGCCTCGTCCATGTGAATACAAAATGTGACCTCACTTTCTGATTGGAATAGATAAAAGCATTCACCAAGTTAATTTCTTCAGACTTCAGACCTGAGGCCATGTTAAATGGCTCTAGGAAAATAACCATATGGAACAGCAGCTGCAGTTAAGGGCACTACATGGTTTAGTTTTCAGTAGCCTACTTTTGCCTTTTGGGATTCAACAGGTTTCTGCAGGGTCGAAACCAGTGAATTAAATAGGTACAAGATGGGGACCTCTACCCTATATTCATTAGATCTATTACCCAATAAGGTACCTACTAGGTACATACAGCTATTTATATTGAAATTTAAATAAGTCAACATTAAATAAAATTACACATTAATTTCCTCAGTCACACTAGCCATATTTCAAGTGCTCAATAACCATTTCCATCATTACAGAAAGTTCTGACAGCAATGCATTAGATCCTTAAAAGGGTAGCACTATTTTCATCCACTCTTCCACTCTGGAATGCTCATTTTTTGATGTACTAATTTGATAGGGACTTCTCCATATGAAAACTCATATATCTCAGGTAAGCGACTCAATCTGAGGGTTATGCCAACTGTTACATATGCTCATCTCAATTCAAGGACCAGAAAAATGACCACAGGATGGGTCAACTGACCCAGTGGACCCACTGTTGGGCAGATGTTAGTCCAGACTCCTTTTATTATTGGCCCCTAAATGCCTCCAGTGTAATAGCTTCTTAGTATATTCTGCTTCTTAGTATATTAATGTCAACCTGGAGACTAAGCCCAATACTCCTAGAAATGTCTGGGAAATTTTTCTTTCCTCATTGCACAATCACCTGAGTAAATCAGGAAAAAATTGAAGGTATCACCACAGTATATACTTGCTGTAGTGTTAGAGCAGAGGTTCTCAAACTTTTTAAACAGGGGGCCAGTTCACTGTCCCTCAGACCATTGGAGGGCTGGACTATAGTTTAAAAAAAAAACTATGAAAAAATTCCTATGCACACTGCACATATCTTATTTTGAAGTAAAAAAACAAAACGGGAACAAATACAATATTTGTATTTGCATGTGGCCCGAGAGCCGTAGTTTGAGGACCCCTGTGTTAGAGCATCCTTTCTCAGGCCCCCTGTCTGAAAACTGGCTTGATGCAGAGGCTGGACAATAGATCACAATTCTTTATTGGGTTAAGAGCTCTCAGTGCTGGGCCATCCATCTTTACTTTCCTCTATTGGTTCAAGCTGGGTGGTACCCATGTTGACTTAACATATATTTTGCCCTTAGGGATGCTTTATTGCATCTCCATTATTCTCCACAAGTCAAGTCCCTTGTCTGTCACTTCAACACTGCAATTGATTATGATCATTGTATCTATGTGCCTTTCTGCATGTAAGCATTGTCATGTGGCCTTTATTGTTCCAGGGTCTTACCTGTTATGTAACATCTTTTCCATCATCAACCTTGGCCACCAGAAGAGAGCGTTTTACTGATTTTTGTGCTCCTCTCACAAGTGCATGCCTATGGCCATTCCATGGGATGTAATCACCTGGTGGGAGATATACATACCACACCTACTCTAGGATGCCCACCTTCTTGATTCTGTCAATTCCTTTCTCCACCATCTGTCAAGACAATTCGAGCATTTCAATGGCACTTAGTGTGGGCCATCATTTCTCCATGCTTTTAGGAACCATCCTAGTCATGAGTTCACCCATCTCCTAAGGTCTTTCCCAGGCTATTAAATCATGTGTATCTCAAGTGAGTGCTCCCAAATAAACTCTCCCCTGTGCAATCTTACTATCTGCTCTCCTTAACCAAACCTCCCAGAATTTAGTCCTTTCCAAGCCATGCTGGGTAGCTCTTATAGCTCCTTTTGGGTATTGTCCCTTATATCCTTATTGAACTTATGATACCCTCACTGGATGATGCAGTGATTTAATTCAAGTTATAAACCTATTGGCCAAGAGAAAGTTGGGGGACAAATCCAGAGGTTAGTGTTGTCCTCAAGTAAGGGGGAGAGTCCTAGTAATTGCTCTTCCCCAAAGAGAACTGCTTTGTCCAAAGGAATGCCCTCCTCCCGCATTTGATGACTGGTTAAGTGAGCTCAGTGCCTGACCTCTCTGTGGATTCTCTAGTCTCAGCTGCAGTTGTCCTGCAGATTAACTTCTCCCTCTCAATCTTGGCTCCTTTATTCTCTCAAAGACACTGTTCCCCAGAGCACTCTGCAGTAATCTTCCCGCATGCCTGTTTTGTCTCAGAGTCTGTTTCCCAGGGAAACATGAACTAGGGAAATGTGTAAATTTTATTTGTACTCTTATTCCCCACTGTGGACCCCTTTCACATAACCCCAGCGAAATTACAGGTAAAAATGCTGAGATTCATTTGCAAGCAATAATGCCAGAGGCCAAATAGGAAAATAAATTAATGCATGTGTCAAACACTGAAAATGAGATGAAGAGTTATAGGATCTTTCAAAGGAGAGTAACAATAGGATGGTGCGCTTATTTGCAGAAGATAAAGGAGGGAGGTGTGGGTGGACAGTGCAGGAGCTGAAGAGAAGGTGGAAAGATTTGGCATCAAAAAGATTTATGTGGAAGAGCAATAGTTAAAGTTGTGAGGATGCAATGGGAAGCCTGATAGAGTAGCACCCTATCAGAGGTCACTCAGGTGGCAACATGCTAAGAGACTGTCAGTCAGGAAAGCTTAGAGGTGTTTCACCACAGTATATTTCATCCGGATGAGAACTGATGGAACACCTGGTGCTTTGTACTCTTGGCTGAGCCACATCACACCTCATTAATGGTGGATCTATTCCCTTTCTTCCCTCAGCAAAACATTAAAAACTCGAGATGAAAGCCTATCATTCTCAAACATATTTGGCTCAAAGAAAAAGATGTTTCCAGGGACCGTAAAAGATCTTTCTTTAATGAAACTTTAATTAAACTTTGCTTTAATTTGGATCACAATGAAGAAAACAAGGGACTTTTCATCTTGCCTCGAGTAGAAAGTGTCAGTATCTCCCCTGAATAAAACGCTGGCATTTAAATATCTTGCAGTCCATTAAAACTTGTAGCCCTGCTGGTAACTAACTAAAACAACAAAATCAATTGTTTGCAATTTCACCTACAAGTAGATATATGTTTGGGATGGATACATGTGCCAGAATGTACTTTTACATGCCCTCTAATGTGCTAATAAGAGCATTGGTAATTAGAGCAAACGAAGGCGGGGAAAGATAATTTGGAGGAAGCTGCAACTCCATGCTTTAGGGTTAATGAAACCACAGTGGACATCATTTAGACCAGTGGTTCTCAACCTGTGGGTCGCGACCCCTTTGGCGGTTGAACGACCCTTTCACAGGGGTTGCCTAAGACCATCCTGCATATCAGATATTTACATTATGATTCATAACAGTAGCAACATTACAGTTATGAAGTAGCAATGAAAATAATTTTATGGTTGGATCACAACATGAGGAACTGTATTTAAAGGGCCAGAAGGTTGAGAACCACTGATTTAGACCCTCTCAAAAGAAAAATGGCGAAATACAACTGGCATGAAACAATACTATTCAGAACAATTATTAGGTGTTCAATATTTTAAGTTATATATAAAGAACACATATTTGAAAACTGTCAACCTTGGAAAAGACCCAAGCCCAGCATTTGAAAGTGTCATGTTTAGAATCTGATCTGTTGCCTAGAGAATGTTCTTGCTGTCAATACTAGTGTCTGTTACCTCCCCACTGAGAAGTAGTCCATGTCTCAGGTTTGCCCTTGACCACAGACACTTGCCAAGAAGAGGTAAGAAATGTGTCCTCATTTGTACAGAATAGGAGAAAAAAGTTTACCGTTTTTTAAAAAAGAACTTAAATGCCTCCTATGTACTGAACATTATGCCAGGGTGTGAGTTATACAATGGAACAAGAGAGATGCAGCCTGGCCTTGAGCATTGAAAGGTGTAGTTAATGAGTATATGTTTCCCAAACACACTTTTCCTAATCATTTTGCCCAAGCAGGACAAAAATTGGGAAAGGATTGCTTTCAAATCTAGGGAGGGATCTGCAAATGATGGCAATTCAGACCAAGCCAGCCAGCCCCTTAGTTTTGTAAATAAAGTTTTATTGGAATGCGGTCATGCTTTGGCTGCTTTTATGCTCCAAAGGCAGAGCTGATTTATTGTGACAGAGACAGCATGACTCACAAAGCTTCACGTGTTTACTGTCTGGCCTTTTATAAAACAAGGTTGCAAACGCTTGATCGAGGGGAAGAAAAACACCTTAGGAAGCAGATCCCCTCTGTCTGTCCAGCACCCTGTACCAGCAGCAAAGCAACATAGCAGCCAGAGCAGTCACTAAAAGACCTAGGTGTATATTGCTCATAATTTAGCTTAAACCTATGTACACTTGTGCTGCAGAATAATTCCTTTAAATGCATGGTTCCTTTTAGTTTGGTTGTTACATATATATGCTCAATGTGTAATTATAACCTGCAGTGAGATTAGCGCACAATCATCATACTGTCACCATGTTATTAATTCTCCAACATTCTATTAACTCCCTAACGGCAATCACAGTAGTTCGCGCTTATGCCCTAAGCAATTTGTTGAGCTTCAATGCAATGAGCTTCTCCTGAATGGGAGAAAAATAAGTTTCTAATAGAAGAGCACAGATAAGGTAAGGCGAGAGTGCTCTCCCTCAGAATTCAGGAGCTATTCGGTGTAGTCTAGCCTGTGTTCCCAGAACATCCTAACGACAGTCTTCACTCAAAATGCTTTCTACTAGTATTCTTTCCCTAGTTAAAAGGAAGGATCAAGAGATTCCTGGACAACCGACCTATAGCTGCTGGATATGGAAAGGAGGGGGTACTGAAACATCCGATATGTAGTCAAGAATGAATATTTCAGTTCTCATGGGGGATGCGACTCAAGATGCCTAGAACTTACAAAGGGATGAGAGGGGATCTCAGAAGACAAAGGGTCAAGTCACAATGGCAACTTAATGTATGAGTTTGTACTGCTCTTTAATAGGATAGTATTTGGTGGTATTAGTCAGGAGGATGCAGAATGTGCGCACCTCAGATGTGAGTAGTGGGGATTACAGCACAAAAACGATGACTGAACGAGATGAGTTAATCTTAAGGATGTCCAGGATTCAGAGGGTGACTAGGAGCGGTCCCTCCCATGGGGACCATGATACAGTCCCTTTATTTTTCTCCTCTGAACTAAGAGGCCACCATGAAGGGATAGGGAATTAGAATGCTGCTGAACAGGAGCCCTGAAAGCTTTTGAAAATTCTGAACTGACTGAGTTTAAAGTGCATGTTTACATGAGTTTGAGTTTAAGCTTACCCTGAATTGACAGAATTCTGTTTCCCACCACCAGCTGAAATGACCTGAAGAGCTCAATTAAATTAACTTAGAGACATTTTCAAAGGTGCATTATTACACATATGCTTGTGATTGAGAAATCCATGTCAACCCAGAGATAATATTCCTAAAGTTCTCCCTCTAGTTTTCACACGCTGAGTTGCTCAACACATGTTGGGCTTAAAGGAGGTTAAATGTGAGACTAGATCTTGTGAAGCTGTGGTGAGGCGGTGTTGGCTGAGGCACGTGAGTCATAGTCACAGTCCTGTCCCTCCTAACTGGGTAGGGTCCTGGGCTGCTATACTTCAGGGGGCAAGCTCTTCACTGCCCACAGGCAGTAGGCATCTTCAAAGGTGCCTCAGCCTTATCTTTGTTAAGCTTTCCAGACCCTAAAGTCCATGACTAGAAAGAGAACCCAAAGTAACTTGTTAAACGTATGCAACATAATTATTTTAGACAAGGCAAATGTCAAGATGTCTTTTCTCCCATCCAATGGTTTTGTGCCTGCCACTAGAGTGCCATTCATTAAACTTTAACTGTCTGTCTTCTGCCTATTCCCCACCCCCATGGAATACGAACTCCTTGAAGATAGACATAGGTTCTTTCATTGCTGTCACCCAGGACTAAAGCCAGACCCTGGAACCAGGCACAAAAATAAGCAAGTTACCCCTTCATGACCCTGCACAAACTCCCCTAGCAAAATCTACTACTTTAATCAGCACAGAGACAGAAAAATACTGTCTTCCAATAGAGGGAGGAAAATCATCAAATTCATACCTCTACTTCCGTGTATGAGCAAGAAAAGATGGTTTGACTAAGAAAGGATATAGTAGATGTTGCTATAGAATGAGCAGATGTTGTCATGTCAAAGAATATGAGGCAAACCCTCAGAATGTGCTATTGCTCCCAAACCTGTTAAGCAGCTAGTATCTTGGAGATGTACAACTGATGGACCCTCTTAAGTTGCAGGACCTCAGGCATCTGCAGCCCTTGGGCTGGTGTCTACTGGCTAACCGTGGCCTTTCCTGTTCAGTGTGTCATACAAATGCTATATTCTTTGTGAAAAAGAACAGAAAGCATAGAGAGAGAGATGAGCTAGTTCCCGGAACCTTTGAATCCGCTGCATAGGTTTTTGTAGGCTTCTGTGGCATTTGAAAGACTGAGCTCCTAGTTCATGATAATAGTAGGATTACAGACTCCAGCCTGGGTAGAGGCGATGGCCCCACAGAACACACTTTCTCTCTGCTTCTCTTTCTCTGCACAAAAAACAATTTTCCTCTGTCAGAATGTGGCTCCAATGAAGAGAGTTCTTGTCACAGTGATTCCTGATTCAGTCACGGCATGTGAACTTGGTTCATAAATAGTGTCCCGTCTGTCTTCATATAACCCCATGGGCCATAACCCAAGGGCTCTGATAAAAACTATTCTGCACAGGGAAGAATGAATTCAACAGGCTTGGGTTCAAACCCTGCACATTCACAAGAGTGACCTGTTTTCAGGACTGGCCCTTGGTCAGCTTCTGGAAGATGAGCTCTGAGCCTTGGAATATGATGCCTTATAATGTTGTTGTTGTAAGACTGAGACTTGGGTCGAGATCAGTGATTTTCAACCTTCTTCATCTCGTGGCACACATAGACTAATTACTAAAATTTCGTGGCACACCAAGAAATATATTTTTTGCTGATCTGACAAAAAAAAGAGTATAATTTTGATTTATTCACACCGGATGGCTATTGTTGTATTGGCTATTGTTATTTTTTTATCTGACAACCTAAGGCAGCGGTTCTCAATCTGTGGTTCGCGACCCTTTTGGGGGTTGAATGACCCTTTCACAGGGGTCACCTAAGATGGCTATTGTTGTGTTGGCTATTGTTATTTTTTTATCTGACAATCTAAGGCAGCGGTTCTCAATCTGTGGCTCACGACCCTTTTGGGGGTTGAATGACCCTTTCACAGGGGTCACCTAAGACCATGGGAAAACACATATTGTTTTTGTGATTAATCACTATGCTTTAATTATGTTCAATTTGTAACAATGAAAATACACCCTGTATATCAGATATTTACATTGCGATTCATAACAGTAGCAAAATTACAGTTATGAAGTAGCAACAAAAATAATTTTATGGTTGGGGGTCACCACAACATGAGGAGCTGTATTAAAGGGTCGCGGCATTAGGAAGGTTGAGAACCACTGATCTAAGGGAAAAGAGGTCAGTGCCTCTGACTAAATAGTCAGGTATTGCATGTTTAAAAAATTCTTGTAGCACATCGGTTGATGTACTACTTTGATAGCTTATGCGAATGATGGGATTCAGGGCACATGCTTTTTTCTTTCCTGCAAGGGCCTGAAGTCTGAGCAGCTGAGGACAGTCATACGGGCCCTGTTAGCCTGGTTGATTGAACTCCAGTAAACATTCTGAGCACCAGTGTGAACATTTCAGGTGAGCATCCTTGGTTGACAACACTTTATTTTGCTAATTGTAACATAGATTTAACATATAACTTGACATGAATTCTCTCCATGTGTTTTTTCTAAATATCTTTTTTATTTCCTTCAGCTTCAGATTTATAAATCTAATTTCCTAGATTTTTATTCCCCATCCCCCCTTAGTTTTATAGTTAAAAGCTTCCCTCCAAAGCCACCTAGTCAGACTGAGAGGTCTTGTCCTCCTTTGGTTCTGCCCGGTCCCTCTTCATCGACCTTCCTTTCCCCGGGCCTCTCACCTGCCCGGGCATTGTGTGTGAGCCTGGGCCTCCTGATTAACCCGCCTCTGACCTGTTAATGTGATCAGTCACCCCTGCAGCAAGTTCTGTTGTCAAACCAGTACTTACAATATGTTCTTCTCTCTATTTCCACCCCCTATAAAGTTCACTTCTTGTCAACCTGGGCACAGTTTTTGTTGTCAAGGTATCAGCTTTTCTATCATAAAGTGACAAGCAAAAACCAACCATAACTTTCTAAAAACCCAAATATATTTCAGAACAAAATTTCTGTTTTTCTCCCCAAGACCATGGTGGCTACCTTATACTCAAAAGAAAATATGCCTTTTCCACCCAATGTTGCAATATATTTGGATCTAAAAACAATGTTATATTCACCAAGACACTTTTGTTTGGATGAATCAAATATCCTACTGAGTAACTATATTCGTTTTCTACTGCTGCCATGAACCAGTTACCACAAACTGAGCAGCTTAAAGCAACACGTTTGTTATCTCACATTTCTAGAGGTCAGAAGGCTACATTGTCTTGACTAGTGTCAGCCAGCCCAGCTCTAGTGAGAAGGCAGTGGAGGAGAATCGCTCAAGGCTGAGTCAGACTGGGGCAGAATATTCCTTGTGCTTGTAGGACTGCGGTCCTTGTTTTTTTGTTAGTCTTCAGCTAGAGACCACCCTTAACACCTAGCGGCCACTCTGGTTCTTCATGTGGGCCCCTACATCTAGCGATTGAACCCTTCTCTTGGAATCTCTCTGACTTCCTCCTTCTGCTGCATGAGTCTTCCAACTCTAACCAGAAAAGGTTCTCAGCATGTAAGGGCTCATGCGATTAGATGAGGTTCACACATACAACCCAATAATCTTTCTTTTTAAAAAATCTGTACTTTTTTTAAAAAATTAAATTATTATGTTTAACGTAGTATTATATAAGTCTC